AGAGAGAGAGAGAGAGAGAGAGAGAGAGAGAGAGAGAGAGAGAGAGAGAGAAAGAGAGAAACACTAGAGGACATAAAAGAAAGCTTTGGATTACAAAGTGCATATCAACCAAATAGACAGGTTGACAATGTAAGATACATTCAAATACTGCATGACTCATAATGGTCAGTCTTTCTGCATCCTTATTTTCCATGCATACTATAATTCATACAAAAAATACTTTGTTTATCAATTAATGACTATCTAGCGACGGAAAAAAACCCAAAAAACATTCAATACCACAATAGTCTCAGTCATTTATATAAAATGATGATGATCAAGATAACTCAATTTTATGGAAGACATGGCAGCCCAAGAAAAAAAAATATAATAGCCGCCTTCAGAGTTAATGAGACCATTCTCTTGTGCGGCACTAGGCAAACGCAATGCAATTATTCGAGCTTCAATAACCCAAATGCAATCTCTCTCTCTCTCTCTCTTTCTCTCTCTCTCTGGAGTTTGCTTGGATTAGTGATGCTATGAAGTATGCCATCAATGGTGGGGGTGTTTACTGAGCCAATTCCAAATTATCCTGAATACAATCAAGAAATAGTTATAGTTATGAAAGCAGATGTAAGTATCAATAACCATTTTGGTCATTTTGAAGAATAAAATCCAAAAACACAAAATGTGTATATTACAATAGAGGAATACATATCTAGCATGAAGGGAAGCTTGTCTTAACTGTATTCTAAAACAACCGCAACAAGTATACGAGCAGGAGCTGGTAGATTAAGTATAGCAAATTGTTGTTCCATCAGCACATCTATATATACAGTGATGTAACAAAAGCAATTCTAAACAAAGTTTTTTTGAAGTAGGAAGATACAGAAGCTGAGTATGCAACTTTGAGAGTAAAATACTGGATTTAAAAAAAATCAGTTTCAAGGCTGGTGCCACACTTCTTATCATACTATGCGGATATACGCAATATAATAGACATCATCATACACAATGTTTCAGCAGAGTAAAACCCAAGATAATCTGACTTCTCGACAAGTTTCTTTGAAAATATGACACCGCACACCAGTATAAAGGAATAGCAATACAAAATGACTTTTGCCCATAGAACATAGCGACAATCATTTTAGAGGCAAGAGTTTCATTTGAGCACATCGGCAAGATTTTTAAAAGAAGAAGGCCTATCTTTACTGCTAAAAACAAAATAATATACGTAAACAAATAAAATCTAACCAGTGAGAGTATGACATAGTGATTTCAAAGCTCACTAGACTACACTTTTTCCTCAGGCTGATCAGATCCTCAGCTCTGAGAACCCTGTTTCTGTTTTTAAAAATGTAGAAGCTACATAATTTAGATCATTTTAGGAATTTGGCTTCAACCCTGTTAGTCAGTGTAATCCCAGGCTGAGAGGGACACAATGTCCTATCAGAAAAATCAAGATACTCGATAAAATATTCTCCCCACACAAATATCAAACTCAGGTCTTCTTCATGCGACAGCGAAGTGGCTAATCACTACACCATAGATGCTGGTGAGAACCCTATGTTGAAGTCTGCCAGATGTATTGACGACTCCAGAATTGAAGTATGCCTTCTGCCTCTATATTTAGCACTGCACTAAAACTCTTCGTTAATTGTGCTAGGCATTGTGCTTATCTACAAACTTGAGGTATTAAGAAAACACAAGACTTGCTGAGCTATCTTTTATTATTCACTGTTTTTTTTCTGTCACAAACAATCCTCTGCCGAGACAGAAACCGTTTAATGTTTCTATTTTACTTCTAAAAGACTGTTATTCACTGATAAGAATGTGAGACTTCCCAATTAAAACAAAGTTAAAGCATTCAGGCTAATTTGGTAGAGGCCTCATTGTTTTGAAGCACCTGTCAAATAAAAAGTTTTTATTAAACTCTCAGTCTTTCAGCTGTTGGGTCATCATACGTACGTGCTCTGCCAATCCTTCAATGGTGAAGACAAAGGCTTTCATAAAGAACCCAACAAATTCACATGACAAACTGCTTTGGCAAAAGGCAATCATGAAGATGGTCATCAGCTAAAACATCATCTCACTTGCATCCCAAGGTAAAGAACATGTGTTCAAGGCTGTACATTTTGCTAAAATAAACATATCTGGCATAGTTGTGCTCAAGGACTAGGTGTAGAATCATCCGTACTCTCTGTAGTATCCTTTGCCTCCTCATCCTCAAGGGTGAAGTGTACATCATCAGGGGTACGAGGAGATGATGGTGCAGATGCTGGAGATAGAACGATGGGAGGAGGAGGGACGGGAGGAGGAGGGAAGGATGGAGGAGGGGGAAATGCTGCGAAGGAGTCTGGAGGTGGGTCCTGTGATGGTGAGGGGGGTGGGGGTAAGGTTGGAATGGTTGGGGGAACGTCACTGTCTAGTAAGTCGTAGGAGCCTCGCCGGCGATAGCTCCCAGAGTCGCTGTCCGTGACGGAGTCATCGTCTGGTCCCTCCAAATCGTCATCATCATCCTCCGCTTTTAGCCTGTCCAACGCCGATGCTCGCTCAACCTGACGGTCAAGAGCAGAAGGAGGAGCTAAGCGGACAACTCCGCCTCCACCACTCTCCTCATCTTTTGAGGTGCTGAAGCTTGTAGTATATTCTGAGCTGATCTTGGGTGGACGTTTGCGCTTGGGAGGGAAAGTGTCTCGACTGGCTTCAGAGCCTCCATGACGTGAGCGAGCTACACTTGGTTCACGGGAATACAAAAGCGGTTCATGTTCGGAATCGTAGTCTCCTGTTCCGTTGAGGCCAAGAACCAAGCCCCTGTGCTTCTCCTGCCATCGCTTCTGTTTCAACTTTTCAGCCTTGCGCTTCTTTTCAGCCTCCTGTAAAAAGTATGGCAAGGAACATTTGAAAATCCCTAAGACAGCAAACAATCTGCAATTTTGTAAAGGTCAGATTGTCAGTGTATATTTTCATACTATTATTATCACTTGAGCAATATTGTGATCAATAGGATTCTTTTCTAATTCTTCGTAACAAAGTCTATATGAATACAAAAGAGGAAAATTTTAAATTTCCAACTTTACAAAAGCACACTTTTTCCAAACATATCCATTTGCACATAGTGAAGTGGATTCTCTATAAACAAAATCTTGCAAAATGCATTATTTAATGGAACATGAACACTTAAGGTAACAAAATCAAAGAAGAACAATGTTTTTCAGAGCATGTTTTGGCAATAGGGTATTTTACTGTAAATGTTTTCAATGCTCTCAAATGTACTGCAAAATCATTTGTGTACATATTACCAAAATAAATCTTTATACTCACACTCTGTATTTTTTTCTAGTGATGTGTCAGATGACATTTCGTAAGACGAAAAATACCTTTTGCCTAGTCACACCTAATACAACACAAATATTGTACTGGAAAACTGTAGTATTTTCCAAATATAAAATAAACTCAATGTCATAAACTTTAATTAAAATTCAATTCTTAGAAAGTCTGACATGACATTGTTTAAAATGCAAATTATTGTCCTTAATAGCAAGAAGTAGGTAGGTGGGTTTATTTTTGTATAAAGTTGAGAAACTATTTACAAGATTAATGAAAACATAATGTTACTCACTTTAAGCGTATCATTGGGTCTTTTAAAAATGGCACATCCTCTCCAAAATAAACTCTTCCTTATGCAAAGAATAGTTATGACAATGGAAATTGTGGAAAAAAAAGGTATGAAAAAAAAATTAAGCATGTAAAATAGAAGTCATGAATGAAAATATTTTTTTTTAATGGGCGATGTGGTTTAAAATGAACTTGAAAGAAATAAGTAAGAAGACAAACCTCTTCTCTTTGTTTTGTGGCAATGTTGTTCACTTGGGTAAGAAGCTCATCAATTTTGGACTCCGTGGAGTCAATATCAATAGATGAAAGGCAAAGAGCTTGGTTCAGAGGTATGAACTCATAATTCTCTTTCTCAACCTGAAAATAGAATTTTGAAAATAAGTTAAAGAGTGTAAGCAAAGTATAAAATATGTTGTCTTAATTTATTGCAAAACCAAAGTTATTTATGTTATTCATTTTATTTTTCATAAAGGATTCATTCTTGTATTAACTCTAATTCAACACGAGGAGAGGGGGCTGCACAATGCTGACAACGACTGATATTAAAGCATTTGAATTGAATGTTATTTGCTTTGCTAATGAAAGCTTTGGATGTATCCAAGCCCAACTGGAAAGCAATCTTAAATAAAGTCAGTCTATAATCTCTTTCAAAGGTTGCTCTTATAGTTGATCTGTGTAGCTGTACCAGTGAGTGAGCTATGGTGGGCTACTGCGTAAGAACGGGTCTACCTATGAGACATCTAGTAAGGAGCTTGAGAAAATCTCTCAGTATTAATGAGCCACTGTGTTCAGTAGGGAACGGCTTCCATTTCAACAATTATAAACCCACCAGGAGGAGGTACTTAGAACTACAGAAGAACAAATGCTCATCAGGAAATGGGTGATAAAAAAAGTTGTTAAGTATGTAGTGAACCTGCTACATACTCTCAATATGTAACAGCAAGTTAACAGGAAAAGCCTTTAGTTTTTTTTATCGTCATGAGGCCTTTAGCATAGGGTATTAAAAAATGCTTCCCTGTTCATCAATGTGGATGTGACTAAAACTTCCCCACAACATAAAAAAGTCAGAGAGGAAAATGCGCACCAGTTTGGCAACATAGAGCTCCAAAGCTGTGTAGTCACTAGCCTTCACATCATCAAGGTGAAGGATGAAGTAGACATATGCCCACATATTGTGCTCTCTCTTCACATGATGTTCAAAACCCTGAAACAAGAAAATACACAAATAGCAAACATGTCAGGTATGAGGATTTATCATCACTTTTGTCTTGTATTGTCACTGCCAACAAAATAAATTACAAAAGACATTAAGTCAATTTGGTTGGGTAGGAATTCAGTTTGCAGAGAAAAAAGACCATTTCTCAAAGGCAAATTCTATACGTTTTTCAGACTCTAAAAATGCCCTGAGTGACAATAAAATAAACATTATAGCTCCACCCCTCTCCCCTATGGTGCTATGTCTCTGTCATTCACTGATAGTCAATATATAACCAAAAACCTCAAACCATATAGCACAGGAAGTTATACACTCTTGATGTAGGTTTCCCAACACAGAATATAAACATTTCCACAATCATGGTATCCATAGCCAGTTAAAAAAGTTTTGCTGACTAAAGATGAAATTCATAGCATATAGAAATATAAATTCTCCTGATTTCAGTGACAGAGGTTGCAGCTACTTCACATTTATAGCCAACTATGCTAATGAAAATTAATAATTGGCACTTACAACATATAAAACAAGGAAAACATTTCAGAATAAAGGGATTCAACTATACTTTACTGAGCTCTGAGTCAACATCAAAGAGAATACTTATCAAATGTTTCATCAAGACAACTGACAGAACAAAGAAAAAAAAAATGGGTCGTAGGTGTGGGAGACAGCTAGAGCACATTCCTTTAGAACTATATTAAGTTACCTTTCCGTGATGTTCAAAGTCATAGCTGTTCCGGCTACAGATGAAACATGTATCCTTCATGTCAGACTCTGCCCGCCACTACAAAAACAAAATTAAAGAACTGATTACACAGAATGTTATTTGAAGTCACAGACAGCTATACATTAAACATGAAAGCCAGATGGTGAACCTAAATAGCAAGATACAACAAAGAGAAATGAAGGAAAGAAAGCATACTATAAAATCTTCAAGTTATATACACAAAGCTGTAACATATTAAAATTTGTTCACAATAGGATAAGCCATAATGATTAAGTCAAATCATATTAAGATGAAACAAAGGCATACCCCTTCAAGAACACTAAAAGTTTCTAAATTAAGAAATGAGTTGTCTTGAAATGAAAGAAAGACTGAATCACACTGAAAACTCTCTATGCAGAACTAATGATATCAAGACGCATAAAACTTACAATTAGTAAAAATAACAAATATCTGTTAAAATTAAAAGGCATCTGCATTATAATGATTTTTTATATTATCAGAAAAAAAATTCACCAATTCACTGAAGAAAAGATTACTCTCTCTAAAATCAGCCTAAAAATGAAAGAAATGTTCTTATTTGAAGACATTATAGAGGCTATTTGAAACTTCAAGTTGACCATCCAAACACAAAGGGGCAAATTGAGACAAAATATCTTATGGTAGTGGCCTTGACAGAAATCCAGGCAGTCCCAGCAAAGAAAGGGTTTTAGAGCAAATAAAACCAAAACGCCGAAATCTCTTTCAAGAAGTCACTAAAGTGAAACAGAAGCTTAAACATGAGATTTGTGGCTTGAAGACTGATACTTTATGGGGCAAGAATTTGCAACTACTACAGCAATAGAAAAGAAGTAAAATGGATGAAAGCAGCATAATGCATGTACATAACATACCACTCCATAAAACATAGTAGTATCATATAAACTGAAGTTCCCTCCATGTAAAAAACCCAGTTATATGAGATAAACAAAGTCAGCCCCTTGCATCAAAGTACTATTTTTTAATCTGTCATCTTCAATTGCTAGAGTTTGAAAGGTACTAGTCTAAAAACAGTAGGACATATTTTGTTACACCATCTTTATGCATCTCAAACTGGGCTGCTTTTGTTGAAAGTATAAGAATTAAAGACAACTTTGACTGTAACGCATACTTGTTTGAGCAAAGATTTCATTACAAAAATTTTTAATAAATTATTTATACTCATTACTCAACACAAAGCAAATTGACTATTTTTGTAAGCTTTCGAGTCACTTAAACTGAAAGTGGAAGCTTACCTTGAGATCCCTGAGCTCAGAAAATGTATCCACAATGATACCAAAGATGATGTTCAGACCAATTGTGGTGATGCAGATGAAGAAAGACACATGGTAGATGACCAGAGGCCAGAAGCTGCTGAAAGAACTGCCCGCAGGATTTTCTTTGACCTCCTGCAGGAGCAGAGAAGAACAATGTTACAATTACAAGCGTAAACATCTGCATGTCCAGTGTATGCTGTGCTCACATCCTGGTATTTCGGTATGACAAAGTATCAATATCAGTAAATAATACACTTTCGGCTAGCAGATGAACCTAAAAGCCTTGGCTGTTCGATGTCCAATGCTCAAGTCCAGTTAATTATAAAGGGGGATGGTGATCGAGTCACTCTTTTGGTAAGACAATTAAAACCACAGCTATATGGTGGAGAGGAAATGTTAAATGCAGATTTTAAGTTGCTTTGCACCTAACAAGAAAAGTGCCCACTAGCCTGAAAGATCCCATAATTTTTACTAACTATGAAGTGGTATTTTGCAAGAGGTATTTTCACGCAAAATATAACAATGTATCTTTTGTAAAGCAAAGTGAAATAAGAAAATGCTTGAAATTGAACAAAACCCTACAGAAGAGAAAAAGTGTAGAGACTGTAAGAAATTTGAAACAAAATTAGAAAAAAAATCAACCCAAGAAAGCATGGCAAATGAGCTGCTAAAAATGAACAGATGTACCTTAATCTTATTCGTACATCCTGGGGTCATTTTGTACCCCCGGGATAGTATTCTTCACATTTTAGAATACTTCTAGTATGAAGATCTCTTTGAAACTTTTAGTATTTCTCAAAAAATAATTTTGTCAGACTGCTATGCAAAGCTTACGGATCGGATTAACGAGTAAATTTCCTCTTTGGAAAGTGGTGGCACAGAGTTCCCCACATCGTATGGATACGATAGTAAAACTAAAACAGGACATACAGATATAGGATTAAATGAAAGAAACATTTTCAATTCTTTTACTCTAAACTATCCATCTATCAATACATCCATCCATCCTTCTATCTATCCATCTATCTATCCTTCTATCTATCGGGAGCTGTAACTCATCGCTCGTGCGTCAGTGGGTCTGCCAATACTGAAAAGGCGTAACCTCTAACAATCTTATTCTCTCTAACAACCACCTCGTCTCCCATGGGTCATCTGTGGCGTTTGTTAACCGACGACCAACTTTCTGGAAGAACTGGTACGAAGTGGTAGCGGTCGCTGAGGCCTGCATATTTCCATATTTTGGACTCTCCTGCCTTCTTGGCGATACTCTAAACTAAACCATAATATTGTTATGTTCTAGTAACAAATAGTCAACACAACCTGTTAACAAACTAAAAACATAATAGTCATATGATAAAGCTTATAACAATGCTTTTGTACAAACTCAGAAAAACTCCAGCGAAATAGTAAATGGAGGTCGAGTGTTTGAAAATTTAAGCTTTAAAAAATCCCCTTAAAAAAACAATAACTGGAGATATCCAGTGTTGTTGAGTTGCTCACCTTTGTCATTGAAATAATATTCTTTTACCTAAACCAGCGTAGGCTGTATCTATTCAAAGAACTTATAAAATACAGCAGAAAAAAAAGTCTTTCACTCTCCAGCAGAATGAAACTCTCACCTCTCTCTCAGTAGCTACTCACCTCAAACATGTCCCCGATGAGCCCGTAACGTATGACAGTGACCGTACACTCCCACAGGGTGGAGCAGTACAGGTAGTTGCCAGGGGCAAAGTGGGCTCGAAATATAGCAAATCCTACCAGGGCATAGATGTAGATGAAGATCAGGCCTAATACTGCTACCCACAGCAGAGACATCCCTGAGAAACAAATTTACACTCGATGCATTAGCAAGAGAATAATCGCCTTGTATACGGTAGCTATGATGAAAATAAATGGGGCCTGTCATCATCAGCCATCCCTCAAATTTAAGACCCCTCCTATGGCATAGCATTAACAACAAAAGAATCTATCATGCCTGTTCTACTAATGACAGATCTAGCAACTTGTAAAATAAGCTGGAAAGAACTTCTAAGACTTCTATAAACTGAATTTGGGCCACAAACAGAAAATGAAGATCATAAACGAAACAACTGTTTGATACAAGCACATTATGACAAATAATTCCAAGCTCATCTATGAGCCTAATGCACTGTCCTGAAGACACTTGCATTTTTCATAAAACTTTACTCCATGCGGACTGGACAACAGCAACTACAGAAAATAAGCACATGACAGACTAATGTATAGTCCCTGAGGTCTGTTTGTTCCCCTTCATTTTATGGAAACTACAAATCAGTCCATGTAGACAAAGAGCAGCATTACTATTATGTGTAAGTAGAACGATCCGACATCATTATTTCTGAAATATGCATTTCCTCCAAACTATAAGTAGTATATAAGCGAAGCTCTTGTAACTTCAACTACGGCACTGGTCACATTTTTGCTTGCTAAAATTTCTCACCGAGTTACGGAACATTTTTGAAACAGATGTAGCCGAGGTGAAATAAGAGGAGAGGAAACAGTAAATGAGAAAGATGAAGAAGATGAAATGTTATGTGATGAGTAATGTTATGTCAGATGAGGTTAGCATTCACGATTTACAATATCATAACAATCTTAGTTTTACAGCCACCAAAGTCATAGAAAAAGTTGTTTCAGCCAGAATCAATGATTCATGATCACAACTTTACATCAAAGTATCAGTCAACCTTCAGATTGTAACACTGAGACAGCTTTGTTAAGAGTGCACAATGACATCATGCACCTTGTGTCTCAAAAGAAAACAGTAATGCTTGTAATTTTAGACTTCAGTGCAGCATTTGACACTATTGATAAAGAAATTTTAATGAAGAGACTAGAGTCTTGTTGGTGTCTGTGGCTCTGCCTTCGAAAAGCTGACATCCTAAATGGATGACAGATCAATGCGTGTTGTAGAAAATCATCCTTCTTAACCAGTAACAGTATTTTTCTGAGAGCTCCAGGGGTCAATACTAGGACCTCTCATATATATATATATTTTTTTTTTTTTTTAATATATGAATATAATATATACATAATTTTTTCCAACAACGGTCATTTATTAGTGAAGGGAAGAAGCAAGAAGAGGGTAGGAAAGAAGTACATGTACACGTACAGGGCCTATCAGTGGCGTTGTCCAATCATCCGCTCCCTGATCAGAGACGTATGTGCCATCCCTCCCCCATCCCCTTCCTCACCCAGCGCGCTCATATGACCTTAGCAGTTGCGAGCGCCGTAAAACCTACTACTACTACTACTACTACTACTACTACTACTACTACTACTACTACTACT